ATGGCTTCCTCCGTGGTGTCCTCCCATGTACTCCATTCTTGTTTAATGTTTTCCTTATTGTAGATGTGTCAACAAAAATGTTAGCATGTGCCAGAGATTTCTGTAGGTCTTTAGCTGACACTCTGGGATTCTTCTTTACCTCATGCAGCATTCTGAGCTGTGCTCTTGCAGTCATTTTTACAGGACGACCACGCCTAGGGAGAGTAGCAACAGTGCTAAACTTTTTCCATTTGTAGACAGTCTGTCTTACCGTGGACACGTGAACATCAAGGCTGAAGGAGATACTTTTGTAACCCTTTCCAGCTTCATGCAAGTCAACAATTCTTGATGGTAGGTCTTCTGAGAGCTCTTTTCTGTGAGGCATGGTTCACATCAGACAGTGCTTCTTGAAACCAGTAAACCCAAAACAGGTGTCAGCAACACATCCAATATCATCACACTGATTGGAGTCAAGGTTGGCTCACTCTTGGCTCCAATTAGCTCTGGGAGAAGTCATTAAGCTAGGGCCTCACATACTTTTTCCTCCCTGCACTGTGAATGTTTACATGTTATGTGCAATTAAACCATGGCAACATCTAATGTTTGTGTAGTATTATGTTCAGCAGACTGTGTTCTTCTATTGTTCTGACTTAGATGACATTCAGAGCACATTTTATGCCCAATTCATGCAAAACTCCACGTAATCCCAAGGGGTTCACATACTTTTTCTTGCAACTGTATATTGTGTTACAACTGCCGCCATTTTATTCTACAGGGCCGCTCTATTCAGGAAGTATAGAATGTTCTGCCAGTTTTTAAGTCATTTTATAGCCAAAAATACTGTTGTTACGTGTGTGAAACATGAAAATAATTGCTCAAGAGGCTCCTGAATTTCAGTCCACCAGCTAACGAGTGGTCTTTGGTGCTCCCCGCCTATCTGATTGGGCTATCCAGGAGAAGTAGGATGGACCGTGACCACATTCAGTCAGGAGAAGCAGATCTCAGCTTCTTTCTGCTCTGATGTCCTCAAGACACTCCTTGATTTCACTTCACTGGCCAGCAGGGTGGTCCTTGGTGCTCCTAGTCTATTCTAAGGGCCTATCCAGGAGAAGTAGGATGGGCCGTTACCACATTCAGTCAGGAGAGGCAAATCTCAGCTTCTTTCTGCTCTGATGTCTTCAAGAAGCTCCACACTTTCACTCCACCAGTCAGCGGCGTGGTCCTTGGTGCTCTTTGACATCCTCCTATGGGCCCATCTGGAAGTATGATGGGTCTTGACCACAACCATTCAGGAGGGGCAGATCCCATCTTCTTTCTGCTCTGATGTCCTCAATTGCACTCCACCAACCAGTAAGCAGCCCTTATTGTTCCTTGCCTATCCAATTGCCTTATCCAGGAGACGTAGGATGGGTCGAGACCACAACCAATTGGGATGGGCAGATCCAAGCTTCTTTCTGCTCTAACGTCCTCAAGAGGCTCCTCGATTTTACTCCACTTGCCAGTGGAGTGGTTCTTGGTTCTCCCAGACTTCTTCCTTAGGGCCTATCCAGAAGAAGTATGAGGATATATAAAGAGGATGAAGGAAGAATGACCCCAGGGCGTTGTACAGGACGTAATGATACTCAGGGCTATATGGAGACAGTGTAGAGCTCTAAAGGGAAGATGAATTAGGAGATGACCCCAAGATAATGGATGAGAAGTAATGGTACTCAGTGGTTGTATGGGGACAGTGCAGAGCTCTATAGGGAGGATGAATGATGAGATGACCCCAGAACAATGGATGAGAAGTAATGGTACTCATTGTTTGTACGGGGACAGTGCAGAGCACTATAGGGAGGATGAATGATGAGATGACCCCAGAACAATGGATGAGAAGTAATGGTACTCATTGGTTGTACAGTGACAGTGCAGAGCTTCATAGGGAAGGTGAAGGAAGAGATGAACCCAGGGTGATGTATGAGAAGCAATAGTCATCATTGGTTGTATTAGGACAGTGCAGAGCTCTAAAGGTAGGAGGAAAGAAGTGATGACGCAAGAACAATGAATGAAAAATAATGGTACTCATTGGTTGTACAGGGGCAGTGCAGAACTCTGTAGTAGGAATGAAGGTAGCGATGACCCCATGATAATGGAGAGAAGTAATGATACTCATTGGTTGCATGAGGACAGTGCGGAGCTCTATAGGGAAGATGAAGGAAGCGATGACCCCATGATAATGGATGAGAAGTGATGGTACTCATTGGTTGCATGAGGACAGTGCGGAGCTCTATAGGGAAGATGAAGGAAGCGATGACCCCAGGATAATGGATGAGAAGTGATGGTACTCATTGGTTGCATGAGGACAGTGCGGAGCTCTATAGGGAAGATGAAGGAAGCGATGACCCCATGATAATGGATGAGAAGTGATGGTACTCATTGGTTGCATGAGGACAGTGCGGAGCTCTATAGGGAAGATGAAGGAAGCGATGACCCCAGGATAATGGATGAGAAGTGATGGTACTCATTGGTTGCATGAGGACAGTGCGGAGCTCTATAGGGAAGATGAAGGAAGCGATGACCCCAGGGCAATGTACAAGAAGCAATAGTCCTCATTGGTTGCATGAGGACAGTGCAGAGCTCTATAGGGAGGATGAAAGAAGAGCTCACCCCCAGAACAAAGGATGAGAAGGGGCTACGAAGGAAGAGACGTACTGGTACTCAGTGGTTCTACAGGGACAATGCAGAGCTCTAAAGAGGCTATGAAAGAAGATGACCCCAGGACAACGTATAAGTAATGGTCCACATTGGTTGCATGAGGACAGTGCGGAACTCTATAGGGAAGAAGAAAGAAGAGATGACCCCAGGGCGATATATAAGAAGCAATAGTCCTCATTGGTTGTATGAGGACAATGCGCAGCTCTAGAGGGAGGAGGAAAGAAGGGATTTCCCCAGAACAATGGATGAGAAGGGGCTATGAAGGAAGAGATGTACTGGTTACTCTGTGGTTCTACAGGGACAGTTCAGAGCTCTAAAGAGGCTATGAAGGAAGAAGATAACCCCAGGACAATGTATAAGAAGTAATGGTCCTCATTGGCTGAATGGGGACAGTGCAGAGCTCTACAGGGAAGATGAAGGAAGGGATGACCCCAGGACAACGTAGAAGTAATGCTCCTCATTGGCTGAATGGGGACAGTGCAGAGCTCTACAGGGAAGATGAAGGAAGAAGATAACCCCAGGACAATGTATAAGAAGTAATGCTCCTCATTGGCTGAATGGGGACAGTGCAGAGCTCTACAGGGAAGATGAAGGAAGAGATGACCCCAGGACAACGTAGAAGTAATGCTCCTCATTGGCTGAATGGGGACAGTGCAGAGCTCTACAGGGAAGATGAAGGAAGGGATGACCCCAGGACAAAGTATCAACCACCTAGAGGCCAGCACTGTGTACTGCATTCCTCCCACTAGTCGCTGTGCACCAGCTCCTCCTTGAGGAGGGCACTGTGTACTGCTCTCTCCATCTTTCCATTTGCCATTTACTTGTTCCACCTACAACCCAGGAGAGTTTACACCAGAAACACATTCCAAGTTTTATATTCTTTTTTTAAGCTTAGACATCTCATGCAGGAGCAGTGTTGGGACAGCTTCTGTTGCCTTTTAGCTTTCCTCCACATAAAACAAATCCTGGTGCCTGTGCAGTCCTTGGCTGTGCTCACAAATGTCTGTCACCAATCAGCCCCTGTAGCATCCTCTTGCTGCAGTCTTGGAGCCTGATCACTGGAGGAGGGGAGACTGAGGAGATGCTTTCTCCTGGCTGCAGCATACCGATGCCATCATCTCAGCCTAGGCAAAGTCACTGGCTGGAGCTCGAGTAACTGTTTGATAAAAGGTGGAAAGGACCTGATTAACGATTTCATTGCTGTAGTACTTATGACAAATGGGAAATGTAATAATGGAGATTGGTGAAGATGCCCTTAGTTTAACCCAGTGTTTCTCAACTCCAGTCCTCATGGACCCCAACAGGTCATGTTTTCAGGATTTCCCTCAGATGAAACAGCTGTGGTAATTACTAAGGCAGTGAAACTGATCAAATCACCTGTGCAAAATAATGGAAATCCTGAAAACATGACCTGTTGGGGGTCCATGAGGACTGGAGTTGAGAAACACTGGTTTAACCCCCTACAAAATCCAACACTGGCCTTGCTGGTACTGAAAGCTCAGCCTATAAACCTTTTCTGCCCTAGAGATCTGTGGGCAATTCTCTAAAATCACCAAACTTCATATTAAATGGTCAGACCACATGACGCAACGCTACCTGATGTGAGCGCCCCCTGTCAGTGTTCTAGAGTTTGCCCCAACCCTGCAACCCACAGCTTGGATGGTCAGCTTGGTCTGGTACAAGTAGTGGATCAACAAACATATTTATCATTTTGCCTCCAGTTCCGCCTCAACATCTACACTCAACGTTATCATTGTGTTTTCCCATCTCATTGAGTTTCATTTTTAGCAAAACACCGTTCCCATATTATTTTGTTTTTTTGCACTTAAACCCTTTCAGTTCTCATTGGACCCGTAATGGGTTCAAATGCCAGAAGTGTTATGTGATTGGCTGTCACAGCGATCCCATGATCATAGCCTGGCCTACTATGTGACCAGGAGTGGTTGGTGATAGTGCTGGACATGTGATTGAGAGCAGTCCCAGCCCAGAATAGAGGGGCAGATATGCATGGCCATACAGAATACGGTCCACATCCATACGTATGGGCCAGGGGCAAGACAATAAAGAGTACTGAGTTTTTAGATGAGAAAGCACCAAAATGAAGCTTTTTTTGGAGCAGCCAATCAACCGGCCTCTCTTGACAATTTCTAGAAGCAGGCACCTCTTCCTAGAGCCTCTGACCTTCCAGGAATGACAGGACACAAATCTCAGCTCAGTTTCTCTTTAATAGTTTAAAAAAAAAAAAATTATAAATAATTTTATTAATAAAAATAGTCAATACAAAACTGTACAAAGCATTGGCAGCCCTCCGTGAATGGTGGTCAATGCTAGGACGCCCATTCCCCCAGCTTATGGAACATGGTGAACACAGTATGTGGAGGTCGGGTGCGGGACTTCAAGGTTAAGGGTGGCAGTCCTTCTACACTCAGGTGTGGAGTCTCCGTAAATCGCTCGGCGGCATCAGAAAAGGCAAAGATGTCTGGGCCATCCACTGCAGGGACCTGCAACTGAGGGAGGAAAGTGACACAGATAGATCAGGACATGTGACTGGAGTGGTGGAGGCGTTCTGCCAGCCAGGAAATAGAGAGCCTCTGTACAACAGGAAGAGGACATTTCCTCATCATTCTTACCGTAAAATCCTTTGCTCTACATTTATTGAAGGAAACAGATGTTGATCAATTGGTTATAGCGCCACCTACAGGAGTGAGATGCTAGATACAAACGATCAACTTGTAGACCCAGTTGTCTGAGACATGTGAAAACTACAGACCTGCCAAATCCAGAGGACGACCCCGACCTGACACCCTTCCCTCCTTGGTGAACTAGGCAGATTTGGGTTGTCAGGAGTGCTTTGAGCCCAAGGAGATGGAAGGCTTGGAGGACTTGATGGTTTTGTTGAATGACCTAGTTGGTCATGGCCACTCCTTGCAGAAGAAGTTTTTTTAAAATAAAAAAAAAAGTTACATTTAGGGTAACGCCATTTTTCCAGGAGTCTCAGGACAGCACCTTGAGAGAGCCAAGGAAACCCCTAAATCCAGAATAAAAATGCAGCCTCCCAACACCAGCCTCAGTTCATGACTTAGCACCTCAGGTCACCTGGCCTCAGTTCATGACTTAGCACCTCAGGTCACCTGGCCTCAGTTCATGACTTAGCACCTCAGGTCACCTGGGGAGAGAATACAAGACATAAGAAAAAACCCTTACCTTATAACCAAATGCTACATGAGGGTGGGTAACTGACACTGTGCCGAAAGACTCCTGGAAAAGGCGTTACTGTAACTTTGCTTTTTCCCCATCTTTCAGGACAGCACCTTGATAGGATACGCGAGCACTCACCCCTAGGGCAGGACCACCGCTTGCAGAACCTTGCATCCAAAGGCCTGCTCCTCTACCAAGACTAGGTCAAGTCTGTAATGCTTAACAAAAGGTGTTGCAATTGGACCAGGTAGTAGCCCTACATATCTGTCCTGGGCTCACACCAGCCATCTCAGCGTACGTGGGCGCCATGGCCCAGGTTGAGTGCACCACAATACCCTCCGGAACTTCCAGACCCTCATATATACCTAATTGCCAGTCTCAACCACTTAGCTAAGGTGCTCCTAGAAGCTTTACAACCCCTCCTGAAAATGATACAAAAGGGGAATCTGACTTCCTGATCCCTTTAATCCTATCTAAATAAAGAGAAAACACATCTTCTAACATCCAACATGTGATATTTCCTTTCTTGGTCACACGAGGGGTTAGAATAAAAAGGTAAAGTAATTTCTCAGCCTCGATGTAAAATGAGGCAATCTTGGGTAAGAAGGCCAGGTCCATCCTCAACATTACTCTATCCGCAAAAATTTGGAGGAAGGGGGCCCTAACTGATAGGGCTTCCAACTCCCTCTCCTCGCTGTAGTAACCTCTACCACAGTGTTTCTCAATTCCAGTCCTCATGGACCCCCAACAGGTCATGTTTTCAGGATTTCCATTATTTTGCACAGGTGATTTGATCAGTTTCACTGCCTTAGTAATTACCACAGCTGTTTCATCTGAGGGAAATCCTGAAAACATGACCTGTTGGGGGTCCATGAGGACTGGAGTTGAGAAACACTGCTCTACCAGGAATACTGTCTTGAGTGTCAGGATTGTGAGGGAACTTGAATCCAGAGGTTCAAACGGTGGGCCTGTCAGTACATCAAGCACTGTCGTCAGGTTCCACTTTGGAAAGGGCCTCTCTTACTGGCTTTTGTAAGATCAAGGATTTAAAGAATCTTGCCACCAGCTCATCCCTGGCTAAGGGAGACTCCAGGAATACACTAAGCGCCAACAGTTGGCCTTTCAGCGTACTCACCGCTAGCCACTTGTCGGCCCCCGCCTGCAAGAATTCCAGGACTGAAATTAAGCTTTATGCTTCCGAGGAAGTCTGAGCACACCATCTGTGAAGAGCTTCCAGACCTTTTTTTTTTTTTTAAAAGGGGGGAGGAGGGTAGATAGAACGTGTCTCCTCTTTTCTACTGTTTAGGAGGGTGGACACTACCCTAGCTGAAAACCCCTTGCTCCTCAGCAGCTGTTCCTCAGAAACCAGGCCGCTAAGTTCCATCTGTCTACCTGGGGAGGACAAAGGACCAGACCTTAAGAAAGAAAGTCCTCTCAGCACAGCAATATCCAAGGAGGGTAGACTGCTAGGACCGCGAGGGCCAAAAACCAAGCCCTTTGGGCCTGTGCAAGGCTATCAGGATCATGGAAGTTCGGATCTGAATTTCCTCAGAACTGCTGGCAATAAGGAGACTGGGGGGGAAGAAGACGCAACACAGGGGAAAGTCCCACCGCTGTACTAGTGAATCCACTACCAACACTCTGTCCCAACAGTTAGGGAGAAGACTGGGACTTTGGTATTCTGGCCTGATGCAGAAAAAAAAAAGTTTATGGATGGGGACCCCCACGATGGCTTGGTAGATCTCCCAACTGAGCACCCATTTCAATTCCCTCAGCTGCCTTCTGCTGAAAAAGTCTGCCACCACTTCAGATCTCCCTTCAGGTGGACAGCAGATAAGGCGGCTACATTGGTCTTGGCCCAGGTCAGCAGTTCCGAGGCCAGGGACCACAGTCTTGTTTCGAGTCCCTCCCTGTATGTTGACATACACCACAATGGAGGAGTTGTCGGAAAAAACCCCCACAGGTTGTCCCCATAGCTGCTCTGGAAGGCCACAAGGGCCCGCATACCACTTGGAGAGCTTTCCAGTTTGAGGATCTGTCCCCCCTCTTCTGGTAGCCAAGAACCCTGCGCCACGGACCCCTCTAGGTGCACTCCCCAACCTCTGGTGCTTACATCCGTTGCAACTTCCCTGGAGATGGGCAAAACTCACAACAGTCCCTGAGCCAAATTGGCTGACCTCCTCCACGACTAGAGGGTCCTCTTCACCGGGGGGCGGGTACTTGTACCAAAGAGTCCAAAGGCTCCACCGGCGATCTCAGACATCCAGAATGAACAGCTTGAGGGGCTGCAAATACAAACCTGTCCACTGTAGCGCTGGGATGGACGAGGTTAGCAGGCCCAACACCGACATGGACTCTTAGGGACACAGTCTGGTTCCCTAGCAGCTGCCCGATTCCCCTGTCCAACTTCAGAAACTTTTCTACCCTAGGAGAAAATCCTAAAGGGTGGAATCCAGTTTGTAGCCCAGGTACACCATCCTTTGGGCCGGGACCAAATTTGGCTTGGCTAAGTTCATTAGCCAACCTAAGCTCTCCAGGTGTCTCATCACCAAAGTTGTGTCCCATGGCAGCTGTTCCTCTGAGTCTGCAAACAATAGGTCATCCAGGTAAGCCACCATTGAGACTCCCCTTAGACACAGAGATACCAGGGCCTCGGCCATGATCTTTGTGAAAACCCTTGGCGAGGAGGAAACCCCAAAAGGGCAAGGCTGGGAACTGCAAGTGAAGGATTCCCCTGGGGGCCCGTACCGCTAACCTGAGGAATTTCTGAAAAGCATCCGCAATTGGAACGTGTAGGTAGGTGTCCCTTAGGTCTATTGAGGCCAGAAAGCAGTTGGGAGGAAGAAGAGACCTGCCCGAGAAAATGTAATCCATACGGAATCTCTTGTATTTTATGGTCTCACTCAAGGGCCTGAGGTTCAGTATGAGCCTGTACTTCCCTGAGGGCTTTCTGACCCCAAAGACATGGGAATAGAAACCCCGGCCGATCTCTGTGGAAGGGAACCTGATGACAACACTCTGCTCTTCCAATTCCTGCAAAGAAGCGAGCAGGGCCGAAGCCTTCTCTGCACATCTTGGAAGCTCGGTCACCAACAGCCTCTGTGGTGGTGGTCTCCGGAATTCCAGGGCGGTACCCCCTTTTCACTATACCCAGCATGAAGGGACTGGAGGACACCGCTTCTCACTGTGGGAGGAAGACTCCCAATCTTCCTCCCACCAGCGGAACACCATCATTGCAAATTTTTTTGTGGCTACACAGGAGGGGGGGGGGGGGGGGGGGGGGGGGGGGGGGGGGGGGGGAACAAAAAAAATAAATAAATAATTTGCTCTTCCCCTGCCCCAGGCCCTTTTCTCTGGCCTGATGGCTTGTACCCGCTTTTGGGGAATGAGATTCCCCTTTTGCTCCACACCTAGAGCTTTTTCTTCAGGGGAAAGTCTTTTTTCCTGTCTGTGGTGCAATCCACCACTGTCTCGAGACCCGGGCCGAAAAGAAAACCCCCTGTGCAGGGAATGCCACAAAGTCTAACCTTGGAGGTGACGTCTCCCTGCCATGTCTTATGCTTCTTAGATACGAAGAGTATCCTCATCCTAAAGGTTTTCCTTCACAGACTTAAATACCAAGACCAGTTTTTTCTTCTAAATGATGGCTAGGCCAACATCGCCTCAACGCCTGCAGACAAGGTCGGTACAGGGAGTGCAGATGCATCCAAGACCACAGCTTCATCCTCCTCAATGTCAGCTGCCTCAGACAGGAAAGGGGGAGGTAGAGTATGCTTTCTGGAGGGTCTGTGGGAAAAGGCCTCCTCAATACATGAAACTAAGCCATCCATAGCAATGGAAAAGACTTCTAGGGACATAAGATCATCCGGGGCCCCAGTGTCCAACGCAGAACTGAACATTTGGGACAAAGTGACAGACGCATAGGAGACACACGGCGGTGGAAGGTGTCCACACAGGGAAGTCCACAACTCTCACAAACTAGGGGAGACCCTTTACCCAACAGCTTCACAGAAAGGGAGCCAGCGGATCGCATAGTCATGTCAGCAACAACCGAGGCATCACCTGCACCAACTAAGGCTGTGCAACAAAAGGAGGGGAGCCCCAGAAGAACCCCAGGTAGGTCCACAAACAGAGGCGTAACTAGAACTTTCAGGGCCCTGATGCAAAAAACCATGAAGAGCCACCCCAACCCATTCATTCCGAGACTCTTCCCTCTGGGCCCTGGATCCCAGAGCTCTTTAATCCTGTTGTGGGACCTTTATTACGGTCCTGCAGTGGGACCCTTTCACATGGTTCTGCAGCAGGCCCCCTTTTTGTGGTCTTGGGGTCCCCCCCCCCACCAGGGCCTGGTCACAAGTGCAACCATTACAACCCTGGTAGTTCCACCACTGGACGGAATGCCCTGTAGTGCGCCTTCGGGACAGGCGGAATGCTTTGCAATACCGCACCTTCCTTCCCTCACACAGCTGGGTGCAGGACTGTAGGGGGAGGCAGAGAGCACAGCACTCAGGAAGATACATCTCCCGCTTTTGCCTTCACTTTGCTGAGCGTGTTTACTGTCTGACCAAGCTTGCTAATGCAACCCCTGCAACCCCTGTAGCTACCCCACTGTCCACAAGCCTAGCAGAGACAATTGCATCCATCAGTGAGCCTAGACCTCAAAAAACTGCCCCCTCCATGTGCCAGTGCTTACAGAACAGCAAAACAGTATGATGGCAATGATCTCCAGACAGAAGTAGTCCTCAAAATCCACAGCCTCAGGGGGAACCCAGCCAGTGGTGCCACTACAAGCCCAGTGCAGGCGCTACATAGGACAATGGCAGGTGCAAGCCTCAGAGCAAGCACAGGTGGCCAGGATAGGTGGACCTCTCCCCCAGTACCACACTTTCCACAGGAGTCCCCTGGATAACATCCTCTTGTGCAGTGAAGCCAGGACCAGGCTGCTGCTGCCTGTGGAGGGACACTAACTGGGGGTCAGAAAGATCTCAGTTTTCTGTGTGTGGGACTGTCGCAGCCAAACCTGCTGTCACAGGTAACTGCTTGAACTCAATGGCAGGTCTGGGTGGACTACAGGATCTATATACATGCACATTGTCACTCAGCAGCAGGGACCACCCTTAGACCGTTTGTGTTCGTACCTAGCATCCTACTCTTGCAGGTGGCACTATAACCCAGATCTACAGATATTCACTGTGACTGGGCGTCCTCCAGCCAGAAATGAGGTGGGCTCTATAGGACACGCTGCAGTTTCTAATACCGGTCATTCCAATGCTATTCCTTAACATATGAGATTAACCTCTTCCCGTCCGGCCCGTGTATATAAACGGCCGAAAGGGAGCAGTGCAGGGGCGGGTTGCCGTTTATAAACATCCTCCCACATTCCCTGCCTGTGCGCGCTCCCTGGGAGTGCGAGGTCCCGATCATGTGATCACTGATTGGCCAATCAGTGATCACATGAATAGTAGTAAGCAAGATGTCACTCCCTGACATCATTTCTTACTACATGTGAATGATCACAGAGGTCACATGGTACAGGGCTATTCACAACAGCCTTGTACCATGTGACAAGCTGTGACCAATCACAGCTCACACAGTATCTCTCAATGGCTGTAAGAATGCAGCCAGAGAGAAGGAGAAATTATTGCTTTTACAGCCTTTATGGGTGTAACAGCAATCAGTAAAAAAAAAAAAAAAAAAAAAAAATCCCAGTGGCGAATAAAAACCACCAAAATAAAGTTTTATCTGTCTCAAAAAAAAAAAAAAAAAAATCATATGGGTAGTGTTGCATGACCGCGCAATTGTCATTCAAAATGTCATCGCACTGAGAGCTGGAAATTGGCCTGGACAGGAAGGGGGTGAAAGTGTCCGGACCTGAAGGGGTTAAGAAGAGGTATACCTTTCCTCTCATCACACAATCAGTCCCTGTAATGAAATATGAAGCAGCAAACCGCAGGCATCACCTCAGCCAAGCAACAACCAAAAACTCCATAATGATTGCAATTAAAAGGAGTACGCCATATTCTAGGCCATAGACTGCCTGAATTTGACCAAGAGACCTGTGTGGAAGTCAAAGACAAGCAGTGGGCCAATAACAGGGCCAGCTAAAGGATTCTGGGAAATCCTGTCTATAACTGGGTACCGTTGCCATGGCTGCCCAAAACCAAAATGGTCATTGCGGGTTTTTTTTTGGGTGGAGTTTGTTAAATAGAAGGCTTCTGTTGCCTTCACCCCACAACCACAGAAGCTGTATAAAAGGTGGAGTCTGGGTGCATTGACGTAATAGGGTGCTCACCTCTCTGTGCTCGGCCTTCCTCTGCCGGGCAGTCAGTCTTTGGAGATGTTCACTCGGCGGCTCCACACTCACCAGACCCCGGTACAGGTTCTGCTCCCGACACATGTTCAGGGCTGGAGGAAGAAAAAAAAAATGGATATCAGAGAAACGCAGGACTCCTCCCACTCCACCAGCCAATCATTTCACCTCTTCCCTCACCTCTGGAGGCCTCGCTCTCCACACACTGCGCTTCACTCGATAGGATCGCCCCAGCTCGCTCAGCACTGCACTCTCAGTATCAAACTCCCTCCGTGCCTGGACCCGCACTTCCTGCTTCAACACCTCGCTGCTGTGTATTCTGGGGAGCCGCAAGGGAACCTGGGAAAGCGGCCTCCTCTGATGCCTCTTCATCTACGTCGAAGCGAACCTGGGGAGGATAGTTAATAAGAATAAATGATCAAGTATTATGTATAAATGGAAAAAGAAAATAAAAAAAAAAAAAAAAAAAAAAGTTTGTGTGTGTTTTATTTATTTTTTTAATAAATCTGAATAATAAATCCTAAAAAATACAATATATAATAGAAATGAAAAACAGAAATAAATTACTAATAAAATAATGTAATGATAAAAAAAAAAATGATATAAAAAGAAATAAATTATAAAAAAAATAAAACAAATAAAATTAATTCTAAAATAAAAATAAAAATATATAATTAGTAAAAAATAGAAAGTTAATTACTAATAAAAAGACAACATAAATAATAAAATAATATTTCTTGACGTTCACATTGCTATGCCTTATTTAGTACTATACAGTGGGGATGGAAAGTTTGGGCACCCCAGCTAAAAATTTGTATTAATGTGCATAAAGAAGCCAAGGAAAGATGGAAAAATCTCCAAAAGGCATCAAGTTACAGATTAGACATTCTTATAATATGTCAACAAAAGTTAGATTTTATTTCCATCATCAATGGTGTCTGCAAAAGTTTGGGCACCCTGCAGAATTTATAGCATGCACTGCCCCCTTTGCCAAGCTGAGACCTGCCAGTGTCATGGATTGTTCTCAATCATCGTCTGGGAAGACCAGGTGATGTCAATCTCAAAGGTTTTAAATGCCCAGACTCATCTGACCTTGCCCCAACAATCAGCACCATGGGTTCTTCTAAGCAGTTGTCTAGAAAACTGAAACTGAAAATAGTTGACGCTCACAAAGCTGGAGAAGGCTATAAGAAGATAGCAAAGCGTTTTCAGATGTCAATATCCTCTGTTTGGAATGCAATTAAGAAATGGCAGTCACCAGGAACAGTGAAAGTTAAAGCAAGATCTGGAAGACCAAGAAAAATATCAGACAGAACAGCTCGCAGGATTGTGAGAAAAAACAATTCAAAACCCACGTTTGACTGCACGATCCCTCCAGAAAGATCTGGCAGACACTGGAGTTGTGGTCACTATTCCACTATAAAGAGATACTTGTACAAATATGGTCTTCATGGAAGAGTCATCAGAAGAAAACCTCTTCTACGTCCTCACCACAAAAATCATCGTTTGAACTTTGCAAATGAACATATAGACAAGCCTGATGCATTTTGGAAACAAGTTCTGTGGACCGATGAGGTTAAAATTGAACTTTTTGGCCGGAATGAGCAAAGGTACATTTGGAGAAGAAGGGGCACAGAATTTAATGAAAAGAACCTCTGTCCAACTGTGAAGCATGGGGTTGGATCAATCATGCTTTGGGGTTGTGTTGCAGCCAGTGGCACAGGGAACATCTCACGAGTAGAAGGAAAAATGGATTCAATAAAATTTCAGCAAATTTTGGATGGTAACTTGATGCCATCTGTGAAAAAGCTGAAGTTAAAGAGAGGATGGCTTCTACAAATGGATAATGATCCTAAACACACCTCGAAATCCACGGGGGATTACATCAAGAGGCGTAAACTGAAGGTTTTGCCATGGCCTTCACAATCTCCTGACCTCAACATCATTGAAAATCTATGGATAGACCTTAAAAGAGCCGTGCGTGACAGACAGCCCAGAAATCTCAAAGAACTGGAAGACTTTTGTAAGGAAGAATGGGCAAAGATACCTCAAACAAGAATTGAAAGACTCTTGGCTGGCTACAAAAAGCGTTTACAAGCTGTGATACTTGCCAAAGGGGGCAGTACAAGATATTAACTCTGCAGGGGGCCCAAACTTTTGCAGACGCCATTTTTTTGTTTTTGGTTATTTTGAAAGTGTAAATGATGGAAATAAAATCTAACTTTTACCGCTGTTGGCAATGATAATTAACCCAGAGCTGCACTTGGGGAGTACCGCCAGGGGGGTTAAAGAAAAATTTATAACATAAATTTAAAAGAAAAATTATAAAATGTAAAAGCAATCATATTATTATGGTGGTGATTGAGAAACATATATAAATTGTACCCTCATTGGAATTCTGCTTTACCAAGTTTGTGGCCTCACCTGCCGCGGTCCCTTCTTCCTCCCGGAGGGCTCTCTGCGCAATATCCCGCCTCCTTTGTCTGGTGTCAGGGAGATGTCCAGCAGTGGGTGAGCCTGTGCCAGATCGGGGGCCAGTGAGAGGGGCTGAGGGGCCCGGTGAGCCGGAACAGCGCTGTCTTCTTCACATGCCGACATCCTGTGAAAGGAAAGAGAATAATTGGAAGACTCATTTGATGGAGATAACAGAAGAGAAGACTCTGTTTTTGCTCTCCGATCCGCCATGTTGGTCATGAGCTTCCCCAAGGAATCAGTCCTGGTTCTATGAAGCATCCTAGTCCAACAGTAAGGCTGTACCCAGGGTCTCAAATTCTGCCCAAATCGGAGCCTTGCCTATGAAAGGTTAGAATTTCAGTGGACAGAAATGATGTCCAACAATTAAATGGCAGAGGTGGGACTGAATCCTGACTCAGGCAGAAGTCTACGATGGTGTCATCCCAGGTCCAATGGGGTTGGTGACAGCCTGGACTCAATGGAGATAAATGTGGATGGAGGGGGGGCAGGGCTAACCTTGACTTAGAACACACGATGGCAGACAGAGAGACTCTTCAACCCTGTATAAGCCAACTGGGCCTCAGTGGCGGAAGGGGTGATTCAGCATCCAGAGCTCTGACTCCCAGCTCCGGGGTTTGCCTCAGGTGAAGTATGGTGCACAGCCAAGTCCATAATACTGGAGGGGCCATTCTCCGGAGACTCTCATCCAGCGAATCACCTATGGTGTCACTCTTAATGAATTGGTGCGGTTACCTCCCAGGTGGTCAGGAAATAAACAGCTGTGCTTGGTCAGTGGTGTGACATGACGTCCCAAACATACCGGACCTGACGTTTTCTGGAAAGACGCGATTGACCTGTCCCTTCATGTGTGCGACGTACACCAGACCGAGGGGACCTACACCAGACCGAGGGGACCTACACCAGACCGAGGGGACCTACACCAGACCGAGGGGACCTACACCAGACCGAGGGGACCTACACCAGACCGAGGGGACCTACACCAGACCGAGGGGACCTACACCAGACCGAGGGGACCTACACCAGACCGAGGGGACCTACACCAGACCGAGGGGACCTACACCAGACCGATGGGACGTACAGTTGTGTTCAAAATATTAGCAGTGTGTTGAAAAAAAGTGACTAAAGCTAAAAATCCTAATAGCTTTTATTTCCATCCACACAAATGCATTGGAAACAGGACACATTCCATTCCAAATCACAACATGAAGAAAAATACATCAAATTTGTGTTGTTCCTCTAAAAAAAATGGAAGAAAAGTGAATATTAGACGGTTCAAAAAAAAAGAAAAATCGCAGTGTTTGTATTCTTCTTTACAAACTCAAACATTCACTATATACAGAGGGGCAAAAAAGTATTTAGTCCCCACCAATTGTGCAAGTTCTCCCACTTACAAAGATGAGAGAGGCCTGTAATTGGCATCATAGGGAGACCTCAACTATGAGAGACAAAATGAGAGAAAACAAATCCAGACAATCTCATTGGCTGATCTGGAAAGAATTTATTTGCAAATTATGGTGGAAAATAAGTATTTGGTGAATATGAAAAGTTCATGTCAATACTTTGTTATATATCCTTTGTTGGCAATGACAGAGGTCAGACGTTTCCTGGAAGTCTTCACAAGGTTGGCACACACTGTTGCTGGTATGTTGGCCCATCCTCCATGCAGATCTCCTCCTCCATGCAGATCTCCTCTAGAGCAGTGATGTTTTGGGGCTGTCGCTGGGCAACATGAACTTTCAACTCCCTCTAAAGGTTTTCTATGGGGCTGAGATCTGGAGACTGGCTAGGCCACTCCAGGACCTTGAAATGCTTCTTACGAAGCCACTCCTTCGTTGCCCGGGTAGTATGTTTGGGATCATTGTCATGTTGGAAGACCCAGCCACGTTTCACCTTCAATGCCCTTGCTGATGGAAGGAGGTTTGCACTCAAAATCTCACAATACATGGCCCCATTCATTCTGTCCTGTACATGGATCAGTCGTCCTGGTCCCTTTGCGGAGAGAAACAGCCCCAAAGCATGATGTTGCCACCCCCATGCTTCACAGTAGGTACGGTGTTCTTTGGATGCAACTCAGCATTCTCTCTCCTCCAAACACGACGAGTTGTGTTTCTACCAAACAGTTCTATTTGGGTTTCATCTGACCATATGACATTCTCCCAATCCTCTTCTGGATCATCCAAATGCTCTCTAGCAAACTTCAGACGGGCCCCGGACATGTACTGGATTAAGCAGGAGGACACGTCTGGCACTGCAGGATCTGAGTCCCTGGTGGTGTAGTGTGTTACTGATGGTAGCCTTTGTTACGTTGGTCCCAGCTCTCTGCAGGTCATTCACTAGATCCCCCTGTGTGGTCCTGGGATTTTTGCTCACCGTTCTTGTGATCATTTTGACCCCACGGGGTGAGATCTTGCGTGGAGCCCCAGATCGAGGGAGATTATCAGTGGTCTTGTATGTCTTCCATTTTCTAATTATTGCTCCCACAGTTGATTTGTTCACACCAAGCTGCTTGCCTATTGCAGATTCAGTCTTCCCAGCCTGGTGCAGGTCTACAATTTTGTTTCTGGTGTCCTTCGACAGCTCTTTGGTCTTCACCATAGTGGAGTTTGGAGTACGACTGTTTGAGGTTGTGGACAGGTGTCTTTTATACTGATAACAAGTTCAAACAGGTGCCATTGATACAGGTAATGAGTGCAGGACAGAGGAGCCTCTTAAAGAAGAAGGTCCAGGTCTGTGAGAGCCAGAAATCTTGCTGTTTGTAGGTGACCAAATACTTATTTTCCACCATAATTTGCAAATAAATTCTTTCCAGATCAGCCAATGAGATTGTCTGGATTTGTTTTCTCATTTTGTCTCTCATAGTTGAGGTCTCCCTATGATGCCAATTACAGGCCTCTCTCATCTTTGTAAGTGGGAGAACTTGCACCATTGGTGGCGACTAAATACTTTTTTGCCCCACTGTAAACTGAGAAATGTTTGAAGATTTTGCTTTCCTTTGAATGACTTCATGAATATTTGGTTGTAGTCGCACTGTTTCTGAGAACTGCTGTACATCTGTGTTGCATGGAGTCCCCCAACTTCTGGCCCCTGTGATCAGGTATTCCAGCCCAGGATGATTGGACCACATTCCACAGTTCTTCTCTATTTCTTGGTTTTTCCCTCAGAAACGGCATTTTTGATGTCACCCCACAAGTTTTCTATTGGATGAAGATCCGGGGATTGGGCTGGCCACTCCATAACGTCCATCTTGTTGGTCTGGAACCAAGATGTTGCCCGTTTACTGGTGTGTTTGGGGTCGTTGTCTTGTTGGAACACCCATTTCAAGGGCATTTCCTCTTCAGCATAAGGCAGCATGACCTCTTCAAGTATTCTGATGTCTTCAAACTGATCCATGATCCCTGGTATGCGATAAATAGGCCCAACACCGTAGTATGAGAAACATCCCCATATCATGATGCTTGCACCGCCATGCTTCACGGTCTTCACTGTGTACTGTGGATGAATTCAGTGTTTGGGGGTCGTCTGACAAACTGTCTCCGCCCACTAGACCCAAAAAGAACAATCTTACTTTCATCAGTCCACAAAATGTTGCCCCATTTCTCTTTAGGCCGGTCAATGTGCTCTTTGGCAGATTGTAACCTCTTCAGCACACGTCTTTTTCCCAACAGTGGGACTTTGCGGGGACTTCTTGCAGATAGCTTGGCTTCACATCGGCGTCTTCTAATTGTAACAGTCCTCACAGGGAACGTCACACCTTCTTTCATCTTCCTGGAGCTGATTGTTGGCTGAGTCCTCACAGGGAACGTCACACCTTCTTTCATCTTCCTGGAGCTGATTGTTGGCTGAGTCCTCACAGGGAAGTTCAGTCATCATTTGTTAGATGCATTTCTGCTGAATTTGTTGTTGTATTGTAACATTGAGAGACAGAATACATCAGACATTCGATTTTTAGACCGATCATTTCTGTGTGAGGGGCGAACATTCAACATCAGCCGGGGAGCAAATACACATTACCTTCACTGTATATGAAAGCGCTAGGACATACACTATTTTACCAAAAGTATTGGCCCCGCCCCCCCCAAATCATGTGATTCAGGGGTTCCAATCCCCTCCATATCATGCGATTCAGGTTTTCCAATCCCCTCTATATCATGTGATTCAGGTGTTCCAATCCCCTCCAATCATGTGATTCAGGTGTTCCAATCCCCTCCAATCATGTGATTCAGGTGTTCCAATCCCCTCCAATCATGTGATTCAGGTGTTCCAATCCCCTCCATATCATGTGATTCAGGTGTTCCAATCCCCTCCATATCATGTGATTCAGGTGTTCCAATCCCCTCCATATCATGTGATTCAGGTGTTCCAATCCCCTCCATGGACACAGGTGTATACAGTCAAGCCCCTAGGCATGCAGACTGCTTCTACAAACATTGGTGAAAGAATGGGTCGCTCTCAGGAGCTCAGTGACTCCAAGCGTGGTCCCGTGATAGGTGGCCACCTGGGCAATAAGTCCATCCGTGACATTTCCTGGCTACTAAATATTCCACGCTCAACTGTTAGTGGGATTATAACAAAGTGGAAGCAACTGGGAACAACAGCCACTCAGCCACCAAGTGGTAGGCCACGTCACATGACAGGGCGGGGTCAGCGCATGCTGAAGCGCACAGTGCGCAGAAGTCACCAACTGTCTGCAGAGTCAATAGCTAAAGACCTCCAAACTTGGTGTGGCCTTCAGATGAGCCCAACAACAGTGTGTAGAGAGCTTCATGGAATGGGTTTCCATGGCCGAGCAGCTGCATCCAAGCCTTCCATCGCCAAGTGCAATGCAAAGCGTCGGATGCCGTGGTGTAAAGCACGGTGCCACTGGACTCTAGAGCAGAGGAGACGTGTTCTCTGGAGTAACCAATCACACTTCTCTGTCTGGTAATCCGATGGACGTGTCTGGGATTGGCAGTTGCCAGGAGAACGGTACTTACCTGACTGCATTGTGCCAAGTGTACAGTTTGGTGGAGGAGGGATTATGGTGTGGGGTTGTTTTTCAGGGGTTGGGCTTGGCCCCCTAGTTCCACTGAAGGGAATTTTTAAGGCGACATTTTCATGCTCCCAACTTTGTGGGAGGAGTTTGG